CATCTCCCCTTCCAGTTTCGGGGCAGAAACATCCAGGTCTCCTTTCACTCTGGGACCTCTCAGATTCAAGTCGATGTCAGGCATGGATATTTTGGGGGTCTTGAAGCTCACCTCGGGCATCTTCACACTGGGGCCTTGCAATTTTCCTTCCGGCCCTTTGACGTCCACACTTGGCACCTCAATATCAACCTTGGGACCAGAAATGTCCACTTTACCCTTTGGAAGTGTCACGTCAACGTCGGGGCCCTCTCCCTTCAGGCCGGGCACCCCAAACTTGGGCATTTTCAGCTTAGGCATCTTCAGTTTGCCTTCTGGCCCATGGATGTCCACGTCTGGTGCTTCAATGTCAACTTTGGGGGCTTTGATGTCAAGTCCGGGTGCTTTCAGCTCCCCTTCCAGTTTTGGGGCAGAAACATCCAGGTCTCCTTTCACTCTGGGACCTCTCAGATTCAAGTCGATGTCAGGCATGGATATTTTGGGGGCCTTGACATGTACCTCTGGCATCGTAACTTTGGGGCCTTTGACGTCGACCTCAGGCATGTCCATTCCCAGTTTGGGACCTTTGACGTCAAGCTGAGGGCCTTTCAAGTTGCCGCCCATCTTTGGGATGGAAACATCCACGTCTCCCTTAAGCTTGGGTCCCTTCACATTAATGTCCATATCTGGTGCAGATATACCGGGCCCTTTCAAATAACCCTCTGGACTTTCAAATTCAACATCAGGAGCCTTTACGTCCATCTTGAGACCCTTCGGGCCAAGTCCTTTGACATCCCCTTCCACTCTGGGGACCGTGACACCCATATCTCCCTTCACCTGAGGGCCTTTCAGGTTCAGGTTTACATCTGACAGAGAGATTTGGGGCGTTTCAACCTTCTTGAACTTGGGCCCTTTCCATTCTCCTTTGATGGCCACATCGGGAATGCCAACGTCTACCTTGGACACTGCCGGTCCCACCTCGCCCTTTGGGAGCACCATTTCCACAACGGGACCTTCCCCTTGCGAGTCCAAGGCAGTAAATTTTGGAAAGGTCATTTGTGGCATTTTGAGTTTTCCCTTGCCCCCGTGAACGTCTGCATAAGAAGCTGGGAGCTCTATGCTGGGACCTTTGATACCCACACCGGGGACCTCCAGTTCTGGGGAGGGGACCTTCACAGCACCCTTCAACCCCGTGTCCACCTGGGGCGTTGGGACTTTAACTGAAGGAACTGAAACCTCAGGTCCCGTGACCTGGACAGATGCGGAGGCAACGTCCACGCACGGAGCCTGCAGCTTCGGCACGGGAACGTCGGTGCCCACCTGCGGCGCTTGAGCTTCGACGCCAGGTCCTGCCATTGGGAACCCAAATCTGGGCATTTTCAAAACGGGAATCTTGATTTTTCCCACGTCGACAGCTGGGCTTTCCATCGCCGGTAAAGAAACGTCAGCGCCGGGGGCTTTGACATCTCCCTGAAGACACGGGGCAGAAGCATCAGCGTGTGACAGCGTCCCCCGCAAGAGCTCCCCGTGGACACCCATGCCAGAAACGTGTCCTTTGCCATCCAGCCTGGGACCCTTGACGTGCAAACCTGCGTCCAGGTTCCCCATCTGTCCATTTGCTTCAATTCTGGGCGAGCTGCCCTGGGGGCCCAGGAACGCCGTGCCAGGAACGTTACATCCCGGCACCTCCACCGTAACAGATTTTCCAGTTTCCCCACCAGGAACTTGGCTCTCCGGCAGCTGAGGGTCCAGCTGAGTGCTCAGGTGAACGCCCATCGTTTGCGTTCCCGACACGGTTATCCCGGGCTTTCCGAACCGAGCCTCGCCGAGGTGGACGTCCAGCTTCTGGGCAGAAGACTCAGCCGTTGGTCCCAGAGGTGCCCCTCTGATGTCCATGCTCCAGTCTGTGGCTTGGGTGCTTCTCCCAGGCACATCCCCCGCTGCCATTTTGATCACTGTTTTCCCAGGTCCTGCTTCAATGTCGGTCTTCGTCACGTGGGTGACCTCCTTGGTCGGGATCCGGATTTTGAAGTCTGGGCCGATGACGTCGACGTCTTTCGCTCCGTCATGCCTACTGACGTCAACCGTGTACGCCGTCACTTTCCTGGTGACCGTAATGGTCCTGCTCTGCGTTCCACCGCACTCCGTTTCTACCACCTCCTCCGACTTCAGCCGGGGTTTGATTTTCGTTGTGTAAATCCTCCTGTACTCCTCATCATCTCCACTCTGGAAACGAAGAGACCTTCCTTAGCACCGGGATGCTTCCTTCCCCCCTCCTCATCCCTTCTTCCCCATCACTCACCAGAACGACTTCTGGGCTGCTGGCCGCAAACACGTCGTGTGACCATGACTGTCCCGGCAGCGGAGACTTGTCCCCTTTCCGTTGCAAGCGCAAGCCCACCGTGTGGTGGCCCATGCTGTTGAGCAGCTGCGCGACTTCCCCGGATTGCAGGTTGTCAAAATAGACCGTGGCGCTCACGATC